CTAAAGATTTTTTTTCAAGGAAAATACCTCACATACAAAACAATTCTTAGCTTGGCAGCTATTCTACCCATGATGATGTCTAGATTACCTATGCGCAAAATGCATGAATATAGTGTTTTTCTTGAAAAGAAAGGTACTTGATTATATTATGCATTAAAATTAATAGATCAAAAAATACAGCAAAAAATCACAAAAAATAATACTTTGTTATAATACTTATAAAAATAGGTATTCTTTAGTTATAAAAACGTTATGGTTGCTTATTTAGTACGCTTTTATACGCATTAAAATGATATCTTTGATATCATTTTAATGAGCTGTAACTTTTTTGTTTTTAAAGATGAAACAGCGATTAGGCGGCGTAAACGTTGTTTTACCATTTTATTTATTACTGTGGAATAAAAAACGTCTGCTATGATGAAACAAAATTGTTTCCATTGTGACATATCATTGTCAAGATATTGTGACACATTACATTGCAAAAGTCCTGAGGTACCTCTCCGCTTTCCCATATGACATCGAAGAGAGCCTTAAGATGACCAATAAATTCTTTACTTGCACACTTATAGATTTCCGCCGGAATCGCGTCACAGCCAGCAGATGTATTGTTTTAAGCTGTTTTATGGAGTCCTTTATTTCCTGTTCTGTTATTGCGACATCTAATACATCCAGGCTGTTATACCGAGGTATTGTGTTGAGTGCTTCCATATTAGGGTTGTTTTCTTGGTTAAGGATATGGCTGTAATGCTCTTTCCAGCGGTTTCTTACTTGCTCTTCCTCTTTTAGAAGTTCGCCTTCTTGAATCTTGAAAGGTTCTACCAGTTATCCTTTAGTTGGCGCAGGTTTCTTCGGAGCGTGTTGTTGGCTGCTTTAAAGTTGTCTGATAGTCTTGAATTGTGTGGATTTGCAGTGACGGCTTGATGTGCTCTGTGCTTTTGTTCCAACAAAGCCTGTTTATGCGGTTGATTTTCAATAAACCAGTCTGGTTGTTTCTTTTTGTTGGATTTTCCCAGTACTGCCTTGCTGGTTTTATGAATCGCATTCCTTAACTGTGTCCAGCCTTGTTCAGCTTCCAAGATTGAGATTGAAGTTATCGGTGGAAGTGATTCTTTGATGGGTTCCCGGAGGGCGTCGGCGGTATCGTTTGTTCTCTAGACTCCGTACGTTCAATCTGGTCATGTAGTTTTGCTTTTTACAGAGTGGATGTTTGGGTTTTAACTGGATTTTCATTTTTGAAATTAAAAGTTGGTGGTTAGTGCCACATTCGGCATCTACTCTGGCTTTTGTGAGACTGACATCTTTTAGATGCGTCCTTCGAACGATTACGTGATCCAATTGGTGCCAATGGCCTGATACTCTTGTAGGCACCCCCTCCCGAAGATCCGATCGAGGGGGTTATTTACCTCCGGACGATGATTTACTTACTCGAATATTCCATCTTTGATGAGTGTTAGTTGCGTAAAAAGGTTCAACCGTGACGGTTACGCTGCCGCACAGTTTGGCTGCAACTGTAGCACGGGATGGTTATGCCACAGTGGTGACTGCGACGATAGTCCCTTGTGCTACATTCTCAGCTGGCTAGGAGTAGTTTATTACTCCTCTTTCCCAGAAAGGTGGTAGGTCTGAGGGTTGTATAAGGATATACCGCCAAACCGCCTATACTCGGACGTCAGGGCCTCGTTTGTTTAAACAGGGTGCACCACGTGAAGGTGAGGTTGACTTTTAGGTGAGCTAGGCTATATATATAATCGCTTCAATATCCCTGGCACCCAAAAAAATTAAAAAAAAACTTACTAGGTAACTATGCAAAGTGATTTTTGTTTCACTTTGATATCTTTAAAAACAAAAAAGTTACAGCAGCTCAGCAAAACGACATCAAAGATAAAAAAAGCACCCGGTACATCTTGATATTTTACTTTAATCATTTCTCATTTTTGAATAATATTTCCTTGAATAATGTCCTCTTGATAGAAAAAGGTGTTACTCTAGTAAAGTTAATGGGTCCAAAGAATATGTATATTTTCTCTACGTTGGCGATATCATCCCTTTCCGGCCAAACATAGGACTCAGATTCCTCTTTAAGACATTTCGTTCTAACTTTCAAGTCATTTATTTCCTTTGTGATGACTTCAATGTACCATCGGTCATCATACATTACACAATAGTACTTTCCAGGCCAAATAGTGTTAAGGTCAAATAATTTCTTGGATTCCGATATTTTTTAAGATGGCGTTTTTCGGCAATCGGCACGGCTGATGGCCCTAATGTTGATGAAAACGTCCATAAATAGGTTATTTTGTCTTTAGAAACAGAAAATAACCTATATTTAGTGACCTTAATCCACTGATACTATAGATATTTTAGCCTATAAAAGTTAAAATCATGTGATATGCACATGCGGAAATAACATACAGAACATGATAAGAATAGCTTACAGGCCCCTATTAGCAGGTGATATGTATGTGCTAAGAATATGCTAAGGAACATGAATATCACATGCATGTCACATTTTTAAGCAAACTTCATAGCATGTGCTTACTTAAAAATGTTCTGAGGAATGTTGGGGGGTATTTCCAGAAATAGATTATGCAGGGCAACAGTAATCAACAACTTTGGGACATGACTAATTATATTATTGTTATTAAGCTCATCCATTATACAGCGTTTTAAAAAACCGAAAAACAGATTTCGTGAGAGTATCGGATAACAGAGAGGTGTTGTATGCATGGTACTAATACTTTTCATGAGTAAGTATTTTCTTTCACCTCTAGTTATGGATTGTCAGCCTTGTGCATCATCTGAGAAGAGTTCAGAGTTAAAGGAAATTACTATTTTTTTGGCTGCTTAAACGACATATCCTGATATGGAGAAGTAAGATATCAGCCCAGCGCCACCCGACGGCCCCGAATAATATTCCTTGCTTTGATTTTGCAGAAAACATTCAAAAGGTTCGCAGATTCGAAAATTACATTTTTAATATGTTTTTTGAAAAACCAATTAACATGCGCTTGAACTATACACAAGAAACACCTAAATGAAATTATTAATTTTTATGACAAAATATCGTTATTTAGCGTGACAACCTTTTCACATGAATATAACATTCCTTTAAGGATATTCTGTAAGGAAATATGCTTAACATGTGCGTACTAGCACATTCCACAGAATATTGTTATATGCATGTTACATTCATATTCGTGAAGGGACATCTTTTTCGCACCTAAATCGAATATTTTTAGAACATGAATGTACTTTTTATGTTTAGTGGGTTCTGACGTAATAAAGTAGGTAAATGCTTAATTTGAAAAATTAATTCTAAAAAATTGTAAAGCGCAACAAGTATTCCAAAAAAACAAAATTCCAAAAAAAAATCCAAAAAATTCCCAACTCCGTGTACGCCAAATTCCATAGAGAATTATTATTGTCACAATAGATGTCAAATATAAATGTCGCCACATATATGTTAGTTTAACATTTTCTTTAATTATTTAGAACATTTCTGGGAGACTTTCTCAATTAAAATTTCTAAGTTTTTTTTTCTAGTTACTAAGGAATTTCTTAATTCTCAATTAAGATAAAAAAACAAAAACGCGAAGATCAGGATCTTCTGCTTTATCTTTTGCTTTGTTAATGTATAAACGAAGTCAAGAGTTGTATAAATATTTATAACAATATTTTCAGTTACATGTTTCAAGAAGAACCCCAAAATCCGTTTTGTCAAAAATTCATTTTCAAACTGGTATTAATTCAGCATTTTATTTTAATTATTTTATCTACAACTGTTTAGTTATAACGTTTTTACATCACTATGTTTTTAGTATTTCAGTTACGTTATGAATTCATAACACAACTAGTGCTGTTATGAATCTATAACACAACTAGTTTTTATAATAATGAAAAATAACTACGAACATCTGAATATATTAACTTTTTCGTCAATAATGATTCCGTGGCACGTACTGCGGCAACTTCTACATCTGAAGGGAGACTTTCGGAATCACTCATCGTAATTTTTAAAATGATTTTTCTGGGCAAAAAGTACTCGCGTTTACTTGACAGGGCAAACTGACTTTTCAGAAAAAAATGTGACAAATGTCATAATTAAAGGTGTTAAAGGTGGGCGACTAATAAACGAAAATTAAAACAGCTTTTTCTTATTTTTCGGTTGTAGATGACACGTTGTACATGACACGTGCGTTTAAACATGATTACAACACTCGTGTGATTAGAACGACTCGGTCTACGACCTCGTCGTTCTAATCGTTCACACTCGTTGTTGTAATCATGTCCATAAACACACTTGTACTGTAAATAACTATTACAGCATTTAAAAATTCAGTCAGGGTAAATAAAAAGTAGTAGTAGACCGCTATTGTACATTAACTTTTGGTGAATTTTCCATCTCCTCGGGAGTTTTTTTTATCAATAATTTCGACAATGGCAAGTCCTAGCCATATAGTTAGAGAAACAATGCTATCCCGTGATATGGAAGAATATCTGCCTATGATAATAATCAATGAAATATATTATGAAAATCCTTCATGGGGCTAATACCTGAAACTGAAGTAATATTAGACCTGAATAAACTCAAACGTCAAGACACGTCGCCTGAAGTATACCAATGACAGTTCCACAAAATACTAGACTAGTACAACAAAACAATTGTTATTTATACTGATGGCGCCAAAACACAAATTGGTGCTGGATGTGCAATTATCAGCGAGTCAGCTTTCCAATAGACATTGGGGCATACAGCGTTAGCTTTCTTCACAGAACATTTTGCGATCTGGAAGACCTTATCCTGTGTCATCGAAGAATGTAATGAAACTAGAGTGGTAATTGTTTCTGACTCTTTAGAGATCGTTTTTAAAATTAATGACATATTTGTCCAAGATCCTCTGAAACAACAAATTCAGACGCCTATTCGAGAGTGCAGCGAAAAGGAAAACGAACTCACGTTTGTATGGGTCCCAAGCCACACTAATATACTTGAAAACACAATGGCAGATAAAGCTGCTCAACAAGCTGCTAGAAGAAATACTATTGATTTCCCTTATATTAGTAAATATGATTTTATAATACAATTACCGAAAAGAACAGAAAGGGAATGGCAGGATAAGTGGACAGGTAAACTTTCAAAACTTCGCGCAAAGGGAGCATTCTTGCGCAAAAACAGGATGCGTTAACCCCATCCTTACCTCTTGCACTAGGACGAGTGGATGAATCCAGAGTCTTCGTAATGGGCATACTGCAGTGACTCATGCATATCTGCTTAAAAGAGAAATGCCTCCAATGTGCATAGTCTGTGATCTTGAGTTGACAGTAAATCATATTATATGTGAATGTCCTCTGTCCTCCTGCGAAATTCGTAAAAATTTAACTGAAGAAGAAAAAACTAAAAATATTTTGAACTTTATGAAAGATATTAATACCGGGTGTGCCTCAAAAGTGGCTCACCCCTATAACTTTTTTATTTTTTCAGATAAAAATACGAGATTTGGTGTGTTAGTATATGACATAAATTAGGATTAATTGACGTATTCAATTCCTTTCGGCCACTTCCTGTTTCATCGAAAATTACTACAACTTTTGATTTTTAAATGACACCCTCGGTATTTTTTTACTTTATTGGATAGAAAATGACACTCAGGATAGAGTGACAGTTCTGACAGTGTGTGACAGTTCTGACAGTTTTGACGAGTCCTTGACAGTTCTGTTTGACGATTCAATTGACACATTTGAATTTAATTTGAAATTTTGTGGATTTGTTAGTCTTTACGGAGCTTATTTTATGTTATTTATTATTTATTCTACTACGGATAGTTGTATAAAGGTAGTAAATCTAGATGGAAATTGTGGCAAAACTTAAATTAACAGTGACACTAATGAATTATCGAAAAAGACTGTAAAATAGTTGGTTTGGTTTGGTGAAAAGCACCTTCGCTTCGGGTGAAACAGGAAGTGGCCGAAAACAATTGAATACGTCAATTAATCCTAATTTATGTCATATATTAATATATCAAATCTCGATGTTTTATCTGAAAAAATAAGAAAGTTGTAAGGGTGAGCCACTTTTGAGGCGCACCCGGTATATACTATCAACTGTGATATTCACCTGTGATACTCTAATCCAACTATGATACTGTAATGTACATAATTACCTATTTTTCTTGTCGTTTGTCTTTTTTTCTCTACTTTTTTGTGTTTGTTTTTGAACTTTTTTTCACTCAACTTAAAATGTTTATGTCAATGTAGATGTAGATTATCGGGAATATCACTGCCTTCAATTCATCACTCAGGTATCTAGATGTTTCTATTGCCCGGTATACATGAATGGGTCCGTTTGAAATCCTGTTGTCACACTTAATTTTGAACCACACCGGCATATATGATTTCAAAATAAAAGCAACGACGGTTATCAAGGCATTAGAAGGATTTACAACACTAACATATAGCCGAAGAACTAAATTTGCGCAGGTGAGCCATTTGGCGTGAGAGATTGGGCCGGGGTCACAATTTGCCAAGTCGTTTGGAAAAGTACCAGATTGAATTTTTCGAGATGCGTCCAATAGATATCTTTGATCTTTGCTCCGCGTATGTTCTTATCAATATCCGGGATCTCACAGTCAATCGGTTGAAATTCTACCACTTCTCGATTTTTACAGTCGCAAAGACTCTGTCCAATCGTACCACTAAATGTTCTTAGGCCAGTTGTTACCCCATCTATATATTGAAAGAGATGGAAGAAAGGTAACTCAATAAAATGTAGTAAGCAAACAGCCGATTGCATTGTCTTTCCAATGTGCACTTCTAGTTGTCGAATAGCACCATTCTTCCATCCGGTATTGATATTTGTACCGTCACAGCCTACGACATCCAGGTGTTTAAGGGAAGTTTCTTCCTCACTGAGAAACGATATAATTGTTGTAGAAATGCCTTTAGCAGAACCAGATTTCGGAGACACGTGGCCTGAATAAATAGAATCAGGTTCTGGAATAATGTTCTTCTTTCTTTGTTCGCTGAAATTGCTTTGATTCAATTTTTTTGATAAAAAGGTATCGTCTTTTCTACCATCAAAATAAATAGCTCGTACCTTATTTAAATTCGGCTGCCTTTTTGCTTGTAATCACTTCTATTTCGACTCTTTTCTCTTCTTATTTTATTCCGATCGACTACTTTGGAAGAGTCTGCTTCTGTTGCCAAACCAATATCTTCTAGTAGACTCGAACCTCTAGCTGCAGCTGCACGATCAGAAACCCCGTAGCGATCACAATGCAGTGACATAGTTTTAAGCTTGATCCTTATTTGCCAGGGCGCTTTTCGTTTTAACGATGTGTTAGGCTTGTAGGTACTCGTCAGAGTCATAATAGTCTTTATCAGATACATCAGATGAACAACTTGGTTTTGGCTGTGTTTCGCTTAAATGGTAATCATTAGGTTCGGTTATTTTTTCTTAGTTACCTCGGGACTCATTTTAATATTTTGGTATTTCTGTATTTAAACGTTCTGTGTGTTATCTGTTGTAAATTTAACGTGCTCTACGCAATCCCAAGAAATTATTCAAAGTCTTGTTTAGGCAATTGACATGTACTGTTAACCCTGTTTCGACTATTCGATACACTGGTAACTCTTGTAATGTGATCGGTCGTGAGATAGAAGTTGGCTACCAAATCACCACTACCAGATTTGTGAGAACAATGTTGATATGTTTTGATACATCAACTCAATCAGCTATATACACTTACTATGACTTGATCCCAGGTATTAACAATCAAATCAGGGGCACGCCAAGACCAGACTGGGAAGAGGGTTCAGGAATTTATTCACTTTCGAATGTAAACAGTTACTATGTGAGAGGTACTCAAAGAAGAACCATAAACACTTTACTGGGCTTATCGGCAACGGACACCAAATATATTCAAGACAATAATTACTTCTTATCTAGAGGTCACTTGATAGCACGAAGTGATTACTTCTATGCAGCTCAACAAAACAGTACTTTTTATTTCCCAAACGCTTTGCCTCAATGGCAAAGCTTTAATGGATTCAATTGGGACCAAACTGAGACGGATGTGCAAGATTATGCTGCCAAGAATAATGTTAGCTTGCAGGTTTGGACAGGTAACTATAATTTGTTAAGATTGAAAAAAAGACCTACCAGAAACAAAGTTTTAAGCCATAAAATTAATAAAATATTTTTTTTGGAGCAATAATAAATATTCTTATTAGTGCGCCATTTTAGTAATACCCAGTTTCTTTAACGATTACTGTCAGTTACAAATAAGTATATTTCTGTACTTTTTATAAACTTGAAGATGCTTTCAGTAACTGGACTGGGCAAAAGAAATATAGTGAAATCATTATAATTTCATCTGGAAAAATTCTTACTAGATCTGAATTATACTTTATGTTTATACTCTCCACTGAACCGTCTTAAGGAATAAGATGTTCACATTGTCCAAATACTTCCCCTTTCCCGGAAATTGTGCTGGATATAAAATAGCTCTGGATTAAATTCATGAAGAATGAAGAATTGACGTGTTGAAATTTTTAACACAGTTTGTTTCTTTTGATGAGTGTATTAAAGAATCACAGTGTCTTTTTCACGAATTTGTTGTGGAAAATGTCATCCAGCTTGGAGTTAGTTGGAGAAGACACAATTCTCGACAACTTCTGTATATGCAAATTTTTTATACGATATGTCATTATCAACCAGCCTGAAGTGTCCACTGCTGGACGTAGGCCTCCCTTAAATCTTTCTACTCTTCTCGGTCCTGTGCCACTTGGATCTAGTTTCCTCTAAATCTCTTTAACTTATCTGACCATCTTGTCGGAGGGCCTCTGCTTCTGAAAGCATCCTGTCTTGGCTGCCATTAGCCTTGGTCCATCTATCGTCCGTTCTTCTGCCAATATGTTCAGCCCAGTTCCATTTTTAAGCAGATATATAGCATCTGTTATTCGTGTATACTGTTTTATAACCGTATTGGGTATCTTTTCTCTTAGATATAAATATACCAAGCATTGCTCTTTCCATAGCTCGTTGGGCTACACATATTTTTTCTATGGACTTTTTCGTCAGTGTGAGGGTCTCTGCGCCATATGTAAGTACCAGCATAACGCACTGATGGAACACCTTACTCTTTACGCACATTGGTAGATCTGATTTTAACACATATATGTTTGTCAAATGCTGCCCATGTCAATCCTATTCTTTGTATCTCGTGTGTCTGGTTATCGCGACCAATTGTTATTTCGTGCCCCAGATATTTATATGAATATACTTATACAAGTATTGCTTTTCAATTTGCTCTGTCCATCGAGACATTTCCACTAATAACAAGATTGGTTATTAGTTTTTTTTTGAATAATTTAGTAGTCCAACTTCATCTGACGTCCGTTTAAATGTTTCTAGCATATGTTGTGCTTCGTGTATTTTGTCTGTAATCAGCACTAAGTCGTCGGCAAAACGTATAGGTTAATGAGCATTTTCCCATTAACATTAATACCCATTTCCTCCCAGTTTAGTTTTTTGAACATACAGTACCGAGCAAAAATAGAGAAACATTTGATTTTGCAATAAATTTATTAATATATCAAAATTAAAGATTAAACTTTTCGTTTGTTTAAATCGTAATTGTACATGCAATTCAAAGCTAACATATTATAAAGTTTCTGCTTGTGACAGACATATTATACAAGGTAATGAAGCGAGCAAAAATAGAGAGAAACATTTTTATAAATCAACTGTAATACAGAAGCAAACTAATACTTGGTTGCGTAGCCTTTATTTTTAATAACTGCTAGGTATCTCCTCTTCATAGAGCCAACTAGGTTTCTTATAGTATCTTGGGGCACAGAATGCCAGGCGGCTTCAACAGCTTCAAATAGCTCAGCACTATTTTTGAATTTTTCGGGATGTTTAGTCCGAATTTTCTGGTCAACTAAATCCCATAAGTTCTCTATGGGATTTAGGTCAGGACCGTAATATTTTGGTCTATGAAAAAAGTTTTAACTACTTTTGCTGTGTGCTTTGGGTCATTGTCGTGTTGGAATCGCCATCGTAGGGGCATGTTTTCTTCTGCATAGGGCAGCATAGTATCACTTTAGATCTTCAAGTACTTAAATATCGGTCCATAATTCCATCAATTTTTACAATGGGGCAAATGGGCAGAAGAAGCAACCCCATACTTGTACATTTCCCCCTCCGTGCTTGATTGTGCCCAAAGTGTACTTAGGATCAAATCTTTTGTTCTTAGGTCGTCTAACCCATAAAATTCCATCCGAAGAAAATAAATTGAACTTACTTTCATCAGAAAATAGAACACTATTCCACCTTGTTTCCGACCAGTTCCGATGATCATACGCAAACTTAGGTCGAGTGGTCCGATTTTTCTTCAATATGAAGGGTTTTTTGGATGGTTTTCGTGCTGGTAAACCACTGTCTCTTAAACGTCTTCGTACGGTGTGAACACTGATATCTAGCTCTTCAAGTTGAGCTTTCATATCGACAGCTGTATAGAACGGATTTTTAAGAGCCATGGTTTTAATTTTAGTGTCAATCCTAGCTGTTGTTTTTCTGGACCTACCAGTCTTAGGTAGACTTATCAAAGTTTTTCTGACACGGTATAACTTGAGAATCTTGGAAATAACCGACCGATTTAAATTAAGCTGTTTGGAGATTGTTGCTTGTTTAATGCCTGATTGATATTTTGATACTATCAATTGTTTTACATATAACGGCATAATAATTCCTCGAGGAATATTTACAAATTATGCTTTACTAACACGACATAAAAAATATCGTCTATTCGGTTTCATCAGTAAGTATAAACTAGGTATTTTAAAAATGTTTCTCTACTTTTGCTCCTCTAAAAATAAACATACATTCCTATGTTTTTTATAAACAAAAATTGAAAAATGATAAACATGTTTTTGCGTTGATCTAGTGATAAGTGTATAGTATCCGTATTTACTTACGAACACTAGTCAATATTCCTGGTTATTTATTTGAAAAATATAATGTTTCTCTACTTTTGCTCGGTACTGTATGTTCTAATGTGCTATGAATAATTTGGGGGAGATGGTATCGCCTTGTCGTACTCCTCTTTTAATACGGAATTTGTTTGCGATTTCATGTAGCTATACAGATGCTGTTGCATGGTCGTATATACAGGGTGAGTCTTAAATAAGTGCAAATATTTTCAGGACTGGTATATCTCGATAAAAGTAACATATTTTTTTACCATTTTTCAAATAAACAAATATTAAAATGAGGGGTTTATTATACTCAACGTATTTTTTATTAGAGCCTTCACTACCAACAGATGGTCATTTGTACCGAAGTTCGATCTAAATCCAAAAGCCTGTTCTTTTGGTTGATATTCTTCTAGCTTTAGGGAGAGACGATTTGTGAGGATTTTTGTGAATAATTTGTAGCTCAGTAAATTAATAGGCCGATAGTTGGTGAGGTTCGCTGTGTCCCCTTTTTTATGCAATATAATTATATTGGCATCATTCCATTCTGAAAGCCACATATTCCATTTTGTACCTTCAACAGCTTCTTTATATCTCTTCGGAACATCAGAAAATTCGCGCATTAGAGCCAAGTAATATGGAAGGCATTTTTGTTTCGCTAAAACACATACCTCACATACTGTATGTTGTTTGCTATTTTTAAACTAATACCATTACCTAAATTGCCGTTACTAATTTTTGACATAAATTAATATCGGGTTTTACATATATATAAGCATTATTACTGGATTTGTCAAAATACTTAAACAAAATTTTGTACAAATTTCCCTCTCTCTTGCCTTCAGCATAAATTTTATTATTTTTCTTAATACAATGATTTCAAACCAATTATGCACAACGAATGATTTCAAAACCCGCTTTTTCTATTGTAGATATTGATAATAAGTTTACTCTTAAATCCGGCGACTAAACACATCTTTTAATTTAATAGAAATTGGCTTTTTATTAACCAAACTTACCACGTTAACTTCACCTTTGCAGGTAGCCAGCATCGACTTCTCTTTCTCTGCTAGATGTATTTGTTTTGGCACTTCAAAATAGGATTTATTTACCATCAAGTTCTCATTACTCGTGTAATGATGTGCTGCCCCTGAATCTGCATACCAAACACTGTTGTCTTCTCTGTCTTCTTCATTTACCGAGCAGAAAGTCACATCGGTTTCTTGACTTCCAGTTTCTTTTTCTTTGGAGTAATTAGCCAAAGCATTATTGAGTTTTTTGATTTTACACTGTGCTGCCTTGTGTCCAAAGAGGTTGGAAACAAAACATTTTAGTCCACAGGTGAACTCTCTGAAGGTGTCCATTTTTACCACATTTGTGACATTTTAAATGTGCCTTCGATGACATAAATGAAGCAGATACCTCATTTTTCACTTTGTTGGATTCACCTTTATTAACTTTCTTATAATAGTACTGAAAGCGTTTTCTTCACCATTTCTAAACTTAAATCATCTTCTGCTATAGTTCTGATTACTGTAACTATATTTTCATATTCTTTTGGCACGGACAACAATAACACGCAATATCGGAATCTGTGAAAATTGTGCTTAGACTTTTCAGTTCTCTTAGAATTTTATCGTATTTTCTAAAATGTAGTTGCAAATCATCATTTGGATTGTACTTGATGCTTATTTAACATACCTTTTGCGGTGGTAATATCTCTGATGTACTCTAAATGTGAGTCCGCCACACATTGCACAATAATATTTCTGGCCTTGTTGTCCTTTTTAATCCATGCGTAATTTCTTGCTGCTTCTTCAATCGGCTCCAAGACACTATTAACTTCTGTCGCTGTTAGCACGGCACCTAAACTGACCCTAAACTTCCAATTATCAAAATTGCTCCCTTTAAATGGGATTTGTTATCACCGCTCTCTGATTGCAACTTGTTCATTTTTCTTTACTTTTTATTTCACACTTTTACATAAAGGAAAAACATTTTAACCTTACTTTTTAATTCTTTTTTTCACCAACTCTGCGTAATCTCTGGGCCCATCACCCTTTGTTAAATAACATTCAGAGACTAGAAGTTTTGTAGTATTTATTTAAGTTCAGTTAGACAAAGATACATTAAGAATGTTATGAAGAAAAAGTAATTAACTAAACACGTTTTTGTATGATGCAATCGACATTGTTCAGAATTAACATTTTTTTTCACTGACATGACAACTGACATTTTGACAGACAGTCAACAATCAGGGATGTACAACAAATAGTATAGGGATGTCGCATAAAATTAAATATTCAAGCAAGGTTGCTAACAAGAGTAAATAACATAGATTTTAACACTAGACGCGGTTTTTTTTTCAATCATACGGTATTTCTTTTCTTTTAAGACAATATACTCTTAATTTTTGGTTCATTTTGAGATGGAGTATTTAGGTTCTGACATCGAGTTCAATAATAATTGATTATCAAATTTTGTTGGTACTCCTGGAATGTCCATGTCATTCTATCAGATAATAAAAACATGTAGTAACGTTCAACATCTGATGAAAGTAAGTTAGACCAGATAAACTGAGACATACTACAAGATATTTACTTCCTTCTTCTTCTTTTTTTGGTTCCATATGTAAGTATATAATCCTGCTATATTCTTCTTCTCCCGGTCCCATATGCAATCTTGCACGTTGGGGATCATTTGTACATTCTCCTCAATTGATTGTAAGGGTGTCTTCTGCTCGACGGAATATGGTTACCGTGCCCGGTATCCCGCTCCAATCCATGCCCGGTATCCCGCTCCAATCCAGATGTTCCGGAGCCATGAATGCTGTTTTCTTCTTGGCCCTGTTCGACCCTCAATTTTGCCCTGCAGGATCAGTTTTGGAATGGTGTAGCGAGTTCCTCTCAAAATATGCCCCATATAGTCTTTACTACATTAAACAGTTGTCTTTCGCCACCAGCTTTCCACAGGACTGCCAACAGGGTTTGAAATGTGATCAATATAATATGAGATCTTAAATAGTATGTGGAGAGTTCACATCTCAAATGCTTAAATGCGATTTAGGCCCGTATTTATAGTCGCGTCTCGAACTGGGTCTCCGAAATAACCGCCAAAAATAACAGGCTTACTAGGCGCGTGTATACGGACGACGAAACGTAATCCAGTAATTTTTGTCAGTCATTTGCATCTCGTGACTGGAGTGACGTTTTGAGACTTGACTATAAATAAGGGCTTTAGTGACTTTAATTAACCACGGTTCCGCACCATACACTATGACGGGCCATGCATAGCACAAAATCACTCTTTCGGAGGTCTGATTGTAAGCGTTAGAAGGATATTCTGAAGCCTTCGAAACTTTGTTTTGGCCATGCCGATTCGAATTTTAATTTCCTCGTCGCATTTGTTATTGGCTTTGATATTTTTGATTACTGATACTCTTGATTTACTTTACAAGATTCAGATCTTCACCTAAGGAAAGGATTGAATTTTGTGAAAAATGTGTGACAATGGATTGTGTTTTTGTGACCAGGACTTTTATTTTGAATTCCAGCGTTGACTTTAGTACACCGTAGATATTTGCCGCATTTCTATATGTTGTTTTTGTAATCTTTAATTGCTGGATCCACTTTATATTCATTTTTCTTTGACATTTTTTAAGAACTAAGCACATAAAGAATCCTCATTAGTTTAATTATAGGACATGTCATAACCAGTTATTGAACAGGCGTCCAATATCTGTTTATGACATGTCCAGTTTTTATAATTGGTCACTATTCACATATTTTAAAAATGATTTTTTTTTGTTATTGGGTGTGATAAATATATTCTGCTTACGCTATTTTCAACGACTCAATAATAAATATAATTACATTTTATTGTGAACTTTTTTGGCACACTCTGTAGATTTGGCTGATAATGCTGACGGAATAGGATCAATGATATAACAATGAGATTCAATATACAACAATGAAATCTATGTAGAGATAACGTTTAATCGTATGTAAATTTGAGATTTTTAATCTCTTGCTATGTGCAGCTTTACGTGCTGCAAGGCACGAGTCTGGATTCATCGCCTATTAGACACAAATAATTTGATAATTAAAATCTTAGTTCTTTAAGCCAGAAACAGGAAGTTATTTTGGTTAAATTAAAGTGGAATTTATAAGATAAAATCGTAACGATTTAAAACGAATACTGCAAATCCCTTAAAATTAAACATAAAATCTGGATTAACTCAAATATTTGTATATAAAAAGGAATCGGTTCAGATATCATTATTTATTATCATTGTTATTGTAGGTTAAATATTAGGTAACTTAAATAGTAATTTAATAATTAATAGTCGATTTTGAATTTCTTATTTCTCTTTTACACCTTAGAAATTTAGTTATTGTGTTGAAATTAATATGTTGATATACGAGATAAGATAAATTAACTATATACATATGTCCGCGGATATCTTTAGAAGAGGAAAAACTTGTTTACTATTGACATTTTGAGAAAAACGCATTCTTTATAAAAAATTGTGCTTGTTTTATAATGAATAATCCTGTTTATACTTTTCCAAATTTTTATACCATTTTAGAGAAAATTAAGAAAAAGTCCTAAAAATCAAAACGCGTTTCTATGGTAATATAACTTCGATTTCATTTTTTGATTGATTGTTATTCATAGAATTTTAATTAACTTAATATTTTTTTGTTGTTTTAAGATGTTAAGGAACCACAAAATTTATTGAGTTCAATGCTACGGAAAGGGTGATGATAGTTATAGGAAAATAAGATACTTTAGAAACAGCAAAGAATGTGACGTTAATCAAAATTAATAATAACCATCTATGAATGAATGAAATCTAACTGATATTACCATAGAGCCTTTTGATTTTTAGGACTTAAAAATTCAACCATATTTTCATGTTTTTCTTCATTTTCTCTAAAACGGTATGGAAATTTGGAAAAGTATAAATGGGATTACCCATTTTAGAACAGCCAAACTTTTTTATAAAGAATGCGTTTTTCTCAAAATATGAATAATAAAAAAGTTTTTCCTCTTGTAAAGACAATCCGAGGATATACTGTGTAAAGAAAATTATGATAATATGAATATAATCAAGTTAAATATTCTTCTATATAGGTGGATATGGAATTGCTACTTTACCTCACGAAACCACCGGAAGTGAAGTACCTCTTTATCTTTATGTTAGTGGAAACACACGACTTATTCCAGTTCCACTACTTTACTGGAAGGTAGTTTACAACCCAATTACTCAAAGAGGTGTGGCTTTGATCGGAGTAAATAATCCGTATATCACCTGGAATGAGATAGACCAGTTTTGTTTTGACCAATCCGAGAGGCTGACGTGGTTGAATTGGAGAAAAGATGACCAATCGAGGGGATTATCCTGGGCCTGTACGGTTACAGCTTTTAGAAGAATTGTACAATCAATGCCCGAAATTGAGATTAGAGGTTTACTGTTCTAAATATTTTGCTCTGTACAAGATGAGTTCTATGAATAAATAATTTCGTAGAAGATTGTAGCTACGTGTTTATTTATTATACAATATATCGTGGTATCGGTGGGTGGTACATCGGCGTTGGAAACATAGCAAATCTCATGCAATTTTTGATGTTTATTATGTCAAAACTAACTGTCACAGTGACACGTCTCGTACATGTTCAAGTTGGCCTTGGTCCAATCTATCGACGTACCAAATTTCACATTTATTTTGTGAAATAGCACGATGCATCGAGGCAATCAAGATCAAACGTTGTTTTAGCTTCAGAAAAATAACTAAACATGGAAAAACTGATATAAAAACAGTTACCGATGGTAAATTAAATTTGCTATTCCTCGAAGGTTACACAAGAATATTTAGTTTTAATCATTGTCTAATAATATTAATTACAATATAGTAAAAAACATATAAAAGAGTGATTAACTAGCAGTCTACTATTTATCGGCTTATAATCCACTGTATTGCGCCTCATGAACAAAATATACACAAAATTATTTAAAAAATCGTCTAATTATTTATTATTTCTGGTTATGGGAAACTAACATTTATACTGTAGTCTGTAGCAAAGTTTAGTTTACGAATTTGGTTTTGTTTTTCTAGTTTTAATTGTCTAAATCCCTGCATAATAAATACTAGTTGAATGGATTTATGTCAAACCATCCTGGGTGCTAATAAAAGTATCGCTTGCAGATTTTTCTTAAGAACAATAAAAGAACATTGGCATTAAATAATGTGCGTAGACCATACTTTTGTTGACATCGCGTCAATTAATAATTTTCACAGGCGGATATATTGATAATGTTTACCCGTATTACTCATCAAGCAATATACTAATTCATTATAATAAAATTACATCATAAAAATATTGTAATTATATTCCTGCAGTTTAAGTGAAAAGTTTTGTTCATAATAAATAAATATTAATTCTGTGGAATATATATCAATATATAACATAAAACGAGATGTAATTAACGAAATCGTAACAACAGTTATTTTAGAAACGTCTAGGTTTACATATTTCACTGAGATTTATGAAAATAAAATTCTTTGCCTCCGGTACAGATACCGCCATGTTTTGGAAATAGCTCAAAACAAAACAAAATTGAACGAGGCAACAAAAAACGCAAAAAAAATCCCCCGTCGCCCTCCTTACGAGTAGTTTTCACGCGCTGTTAAGAATCGAAAGTAGGTCTAGACAAATCGAAGTGGGTCAAGACAACTGGAAATAAATCGAAATGCGTTCAAAGTTGGGCGACGAAATGCGACCTTGTATGTTTCGAATTGTTTCTGGCATAGTGTGTACGCTGTTTAAGGATATATACTGTTTTTCTTACGGTTTTTTTTTATTTGTTGTATATTATTGTATTAAAAATGTATTTCTGTAATATTTCTGATATTTTTGACAGGGAGTGTGTCACACTGAATCGGGTTTATAATTGGGGTGCACTCCTTATTAAGCTATTAGGCTATTTCAGCGAAAGTATACTTTGTATTTTGCATATTTGATATACAACAGTAGTGGTTAGTTAAATAAAATAAATAAAGAAAAACATTTGATTTGATATGCAATCCTTTACAGATATAATTTTACCAATATAAGCTTTTTAAATCACGCGGTAAGTATGCAAATTTTGAATTAAAATAGATTTCGCTACGAACTAATTCATTGATAAAATTAGATTTTATCTTGACATGAAGGAATACATAAAAAAGAAAAGGGACTTAAAATTTACCAGTTCCAAAAACCAATTAATCAGTGATAATAGCTCAGTCTGAAAATGAGGAGCGTAATTTTAATACTGTTAATACCATTTTCACTTGGTAAAATAATTCCAGAAAGTACTAATGCTACAGTCAATAGTGTCGGTAACTGTGCAGGAGTCAGTTCAAGTAATTAATGTAATTTAAAAAATATTAAGGATAACAGTTTAAACAAATTTATTATATTTAAAATGTATAGGATATTTCGAATGTTTTTTTTCGTTAACTTAATCTTTACTTGTTCAATATAATAATTGGGTTAAACTCAAGTGTTATTAAATTAGAAAGATTGGCTGAGATAACTATTGGGTCAATCAAAACACTATTCTTAACGGCATTGGGATGCAAGTTACAATGTGAAAAAATTAAAAAAATCTTAAAAATTTTGTTTAATTTAAGGTGCAATTGTAAAACAATTTTACTGAATTCAGATAAGAATAAATTAAAGAAAATTTTAGATGAGTTTTTAATTTTCGTGAAAATCAACTTGAATACTCTATTCTTCAATACCTGACAATGTTATAACAACTTTTGTCAACTGATATTTATTCTGCTCTACTAGTTTTTCGCGCATCTCGTCGCGCATTATTTTTTAATATTGAATACAGTAAATTTTTCTCTTAAGTATCATCTGATTCTGATTCAGAACTAAAGTTAAACTAACTTGGTGGCGATGGCGTATCAGAATTGTCATGCCGTCGCAGAGGCGAGTCACTGAAAAACTGCCTTCTAATTTACGGACCACCATGCAGCGTGTGTGGCACGTTGAGTCACGTATATCGCGCGTGACTGGCATGACGCGACGTGCCACGCGCGCTGCATGGTGGTCCGTAAATTAGAAGGCAGTTTTTCAGTGACTCGCATCTGCGACCGTATAAAAACGTATGCATAAAAATATATGAGTCGCCATCGAAACAATTTTTGTTACTAAACTTTAGTTTTGAACCAGAATCAGATAAATCGGAAGAAAAAATATATATATATTACTGTATTAAATAACAAAAAATAAAACACGCGAACGCGAGGCACGCGACTCGTGAAAAACTGTGTCTAATACTCGGTATAATTTTGCACATTGTAAAACATACAGAGTGACAATTTGAAAACGAACAGTATTTAATACTACCTCTACCGATGATAGTATAAAAATTTGGCGAAATACGTCAATTTACATATCAAGGGGGATAATTTTTGAGGCATTTGTTGTCGTGTTACTTTCAACTAATAACTACCCTTTGACACATAGGGCACCTACCCCTAAAATTTTATATGGCAACCCCTATTTCTTTTACCATTTTTGTGTTCCTTATAATATCCAGTTTATGTAGAATTCTATAAGAAACACAAAAATAGTAAAAGAAATAGGGGTTGCTATTTAAAATTTTAGGGGTAGGTGCCCTGGCGGTCAAGGGGTTGAAAGTAACACGATAACAAATGCCTCGAAAATTGTTCCCCTTGATATGTAAATTGACGTGTTTCGCCAAATTTTCATACTATCATCTGTAGAGGCAATAGGTATTAAAATACTGTTCGTTTTCAAATTGTCACGTGGTTCGAACTGTATTCTGGAAACTTCGGCAGCATATTCTGCAGATAAAAATAAGTAAAAAAGTTCGTATAAATGTATGCCCTAAAATGTTTAGTTTCGAAGTTACAGGGTGTAAAAGTTTTATTTTTTGCAAATAATTTATGTAGTAACGTCAATATTTGGATGAAAATTGGTGTCTGGAAGTTTTTTAACATGAGAAAATTGATTTTGATGTTACCATGGCTCTTATTTGTAGGGGGAGCTACCTACATATGTTTTAACTATTTTGAAGAGTAATAACTTTTCGTCCGTACTTGTGATCTAAACTATTGGGTGAAAAAATATACATTTCCGTAATTTTTTACGTAAAAAATGTCTCTTGGTAAAAATCGATACGAGCAACCGTTCTCAAAATATTTAGAATGGAAATAGTCAATACATGTCATAATTAATCATAAATTTTTCTTCGAAAAAATGATAATAAAAAAGTTTCTGTTGATCTCTTGACACAAAAACATTTTAAATTTATGGTTTCAGTCTCATAACAACTATTTAGTAAACATGTTTAATTTATGTCATTGACGACATACAGTCTCAAAAGCCAATATCTGAGACAGCTCCACAGAGGCCAGCTCTCCGTCCTCGACATCAGCCGTACCAAAGTTCATTGCATGAACGGTCGTCCTCTTGGCGCACTCAGTGATAAGGTGTTCTGGTGTTTCCCCATTTTCCCCAGAGAATCTGCATTCGCCGTTGTTTCTCAGCTTCAGCCCACCGAGGTATTCGTCGAGGAGACAGTGTCCTGTTAGAAACCCCGTGATAATTCGAAGATTTTTTTTATTAAAATCGAGGGGTAAACCGCTGACAAATTTCTTTACACTAATACCACGAATAATGCAAAAATGCCAATACCATCAACGATTAATACCACTAATACCAAATAATGCCAACATCTTTTACACCAAAATACACCAGCGGTTTACCCCTCGACTAAAATCAAGGAAAATCTTTGGTTTTTCGCGGTGATAAGTTCTGAGGAACGTTTTCCGTGTTTTAGTCGAGAACTATTAGCGCGATTCTCACTAGTAATACCACTAGAGGTCAAATTATTTCCGGAAATATTTTCGAGCTCATGAATATTTTGAAAATTATCCCGAGTCGAAGACGAGGGATAATTTTCTAAAAATATTCATGAGCGAGAAAAAATTTCCGGATTTAATTTGACCTCGTGTGGTATTCGGTAAGAAAATTCCACACCAAATTGTGTTTGAAAATCAAATAATTAAAATGTATTTTTCGATTTTTAGTCGACTTCATTATTTAGTTACTATGGTAACTAAGTGACACCCAAACCTAAAAACCAGAGAGAACACTAATAACTAAAGTGAGAGAGACCGATCAACGTTAATTTTTGAAGACTGTGTTAGTGGCGCGGTCTTTGGCGTCTAACCCGAACTATGAGCGCATTATCGATATAGTAGGTTGCATTCATACCTTTATACTGACGCCAAAAATTTAAAATTTGTATATTTGAACCGAATCTTAATCTTTCAAGTTTATAATAAGAAATCTTCGTAGTTTTTTTTAGATTATTTTGTTGACAACGAAAATTTATAATTAGAGTTTAAAGCATTAAAACCTATAAATAAAATACTGTGTAGGAAAATAATAATTTATTTAACTCCATATTCCTTGCCATAGTCCAACTCAAGGCTGCAATCTTCAGTATCTTTTTTATCTAACTTGGTTGGGAGTGAACACGGGAGCACGGTTGGGAGCTCGCACAGAGTATCAGTAGGTATCCCGTAGGTATTCAATGTTTTTGATAGTCTTTATTCTATAACAAGAACCTAGCAGTTGAAGAAAATAATTTGTATTACTGGAAATAATACCAGGTATAATACCTAGTCGTTCCATAGGTATCAGAAAAGAATGTGATGTTTTAAATTAAAAAAATTAAATTAGCAATGTACGATTATTATGTGCACTCATTATTACTATTAGGTATGTTAAAATAATTACCGAGATAAAACTTACCTTTAAAGGAAACGTTTTGTCTGGGTCTCAACCACAAAACAAAAATTACAAAAATGCCGAATAATCGTGGAATCTGAAATAATCAATAATGACAATAATCTTCTCTTCTGACAAGCTAAAAAAAAAACAGGGACATTCAGTCAAAAACAATTTATTACTCCGATTTGCTCCGATTATCAACAGATTTTATTTATCTCCTTCTAGAACTAAGATATAGAAAAAGCTACTGACAATCTAATAAATCCTGTCAAATGTTTAACTTGCAAAGTTGAAAATTTCCTTTTTTGACCACCTAAACACTATGCGCGTCTGGGATGCGCGGTGACAAAATAAACTTTTCTACGAAATGCCCTATTCCACAAGCCCTCTCACTTTAGTTATTAGTTTCTCTCTGCTAAAAACTATTTCAGTTTTAAAGCTGTCAAGCGGCACGGTCAAGAAAGCAAAGAAAATATTCGCCAGGAGATTAATCAGTTGACACCCGCGAATACTAGGAAATCGAAGTCAAGCGTATGGAAGCAGTTTACAAACTTTTGCGCAGAAAAATTGTATGATTTCGACAGAGCGGATATACCTGTGGCAGAACTGGCGCTTATTCTTGAAGACTATGGGTTCAACATGCGAAAAAAGAACTCTGAAGACTACAAGGAGAGTGTTATCAAAGTTTTATGGAACTCCACAGCCAAGCATAATAAAACTTAAAATTCAAAGTGCTAAATGGAAAAAGGCGAATAAAATAGTGTCTAAATATTATATATATTTCATTAGACATAGACATATAATTCAGTCCATTCCAAGCCCTACATTTTCGCCATTAAGAAGAAAGGAGGTGTCCAAAGAATATAGAAAACATCTCAGCTTTGTAATTGAAATGTATCAAAATTATCGTGTAAACAAATAAAAACCAGACTCTGAAAAAGATATTCTGTCATTATAAACGTCAAAAAATTTCCAGTATAATTCGCTGTTGGGTGCCCACAAGGAAAAAAAATTCACTAGTAATACCACTAGAGGTCAAATTATTTCCGGAAATGTCCGGATTTAATTTGACCTCGTGTGGTATTCGGTTAGAATATTCCACACCAAACTGTGAAATCAAATAATTAAAATGTATTTTTCGATTTTTGGTCGAATTGATTATTTAGTTACTATGACAACTAAGTGACACCTAAACTATTTCAGTTTTGAAGCTGTCAAGCAGCACGACTTAAAAAAATGTTTCGCTTTGGTCATGAAACCAAAGAAAACATTCGCCAGGAGATTAAGCAGTTGACACCCGCGAATACTAGGAAATCGAAGTCAAGCGTATGGAAGCAGTTTACAAACTTTCATCTCAGCTTTTTAATTGAAATGGATCAAAATTATCATGTAAACAAATAAAAACCAGACTCTCAAAAGATATTCTGTCATTATAAACGTCAAAAAAATTTCCAGTATAATTCGCTGTTGGGTACCCACAACGAAAAAAATTCACTTATAATATCACAAGAGCTTAAATTATTTTCGGAAATTTTTTTGAGGGCACGAATATTTTGAAAATTATAATAATAATTTTCCTAAAATA